GGAGGGCTCTAAATAGGGCGAGTTGTGAAATTCGTTTTCCCCACTTTCAATTTCCTGTATCTCCTAAAGTAATGTGCATTGATTCCTGGAAATAATTTCTCGCTTACTTGAATGTACGTCTTATGTAAATATTTGAGAAAAACCTAAGACATATTATTTTAAAAATTGACGAAACTGCTGAATTTTGCTCAATTTTTTCGCCGGTTGAATTTGTATCCCATCTTGAATCAACTATATTTTCATGAATTACATACATTTGTGCATCTCTTGTTGTCATTTGGCATTTTTATCATTAATGCTTAATTTGATATTAATTTACAAATTTTGTCCTTATCCGAAAAATGGGTGAAAAATAAAAAAACTTTTTCTCAAAAACTCCATCTTTGATTTTCTTCATTTCTTCCACGTTGATGCTAGAAGGCATCGGTTACAACGTGGTATAAAAATTTCCTCCTCGATTTGCCTCATTACCAAGTTATTGATTTTTGAGCATGCAAATTTTCCGACGACGTTGCGGGAAACAACGGTCACGCATTGATTTTTAGCCGTATGTGTCCAGCATGTAAATATTAATGTCAAGTGGCGATGATAAATTCGACAATATGTTCACATCTACCCTGATGCAATGGTCAAATTGCGTAGCATATGAAAAATGCTCTACCTAGACCACGTGATTCCTACTTTGTATAGCCGGCTTGGAGTCGCTCATACCGTCACCTGCACCCCCGACCTCGCCTCCCCTCCTACCCATGTCCTAATAGCCCACCTCAACCTCCCCATGAAGATTTCAGAGCCGGACTTCGGAGTGTCGTTTGTCTCAACGTGGAGGACCACCGACACTTCCTCGGAGCACACCACCGACCGGACCTTATCTCTAACGTGTTCGATCCTTGCATCGGGGGTTTGGCTGAAAGGAACCTGGGCTCCTGAATATTTTCCCATTGCTACCTCAAGATGCCTGACGTTCGAATTACCGACGATTAGAAGGACCTGTGCTTTCCCTCTCTCCTTCAACACGGCCTGATTATTTCCTGCCGACCAGACACCTGCTCTCTCCCCTCCTTCCGATTCTTCATCAAACAAGGAATTTCACAAGTCGCCCTTTTTAGAGCCCTGCAATTGTGAACTTTATTCACCGAAACTATTACAGATACAGAGGTAAATAAGCTACCATTTTTCATCATAATTTTTCATCATTTGAATGGTCATATATTTTTTAACATTACTGTTGGAATGGTGTACAAACCTATGTTGTTAACTTTTGAATATATGGTCCATGAGAGGTTTAGTTCCAGAGATATGACTGAAAAACTTTTTACCAGCAATAAAGGCAATAAAAATATGAAAAAATTACCATGGCAACATAAGAGACTACATTCAAAAGTTAACAACATAGGTTTGTACACCATTCCAACAGTAATGTATCCCAAAACTTCCAAAAATATAGCTTACCTATAGCTATATATACCTATTAAGGCAGGGGAAAATCCTGGTGGTGGTGGTGGGGGGGTTCTTATGTGGGCCTGACCAATTTTGCATCTTTTCATCTATGACCCCTCCCAATTAGGTCATTATGTGACACTTTTCAAAACTCATTATTGAATTCAGTTAGTACTCATCACAAGCTTTCAAATAGTAAATAATATGTACAGATTAGTGTGGAAATGTATGATACTTTTGATTCGAGAAAGTGGGTTATCATTTTTGATGTAGAGTGCCCCCTTAAGGCAAAATGATCCACCCATAAACAGTATAAATGGATGTTGCATGACTTAAGCAGGGGTGCTGAAATAAAAACTGACATGCATCTCAAAACCTTGTAACTGCCCAATGTTGATCACATAGTCAATGTACTTTTTTTTTTGCAAGAAAGAAAATGTGTTTCTCCCACAAAAAATAGGTTTTTTTTTTATTTTAAATAACCCTATACTTCCACTTAGGAAACAAGGACTGACTCCCTAGCCAGAGCCTTTGGATGGTTTGCCAGAATGCCTTGGTAATTGTGAGGAAATCAAATCCCATTTGCCAGCTGAATTTCTTAATTGCCTCCTTTTTCCTTGGCCACAGCTTGATCAGCTGCTATATAAAACATCAGCCACCAGTCCTGTTCACTTTGCCCTAAATCCAGCTACCCTCCACCAATACAACAAGCACACTTCATATTATTATCCACCTTCTTGCATTGCATACTTCCCATCAATAACTTTTCCATACAGGCACACTAAATTATTGAGTAGCAAATACTGACTAGTTATAATTTACTTCATCAAAAATGTTTATGAAAATATCAAAGGTTGAACAATGACTTCCTTGGCAAGTTTGTCCCAACAATATAACTTGATAACAGAGTATGTTGGTTCTATATTCATATGCAGAAAATCCAATGGCTATAAGTAACTGGAGCAAATCTTCATATGTCTTGATATTTCATATTTGACAAGCATTGGAAATACAAACTTTTTTTCTCTTCAAAGAGACATTACCTATCCCTAACTATCAACAATGATTCCCTTGATGCTACCTGAGAAAGCAGTCACCTTGAAAAGTTATCAGAACAAAGGATTTTGAATCATAGACGAGATCAACTAAGAGCCTGGGGGTGAGATGAGGGAGGAGTGGGCCTTACTAAGAATCATGCTGTCCCTGTTTCAGCTTTGGTAAACTCAACAGCAAGCACAGTAATATGATGTATGTTATTAGCCAAATTAAACCATAGTTAAGAATAGAGATGCAACGATATTTTATCGGTTATCGATATCGGCCGATATTACGTGAAGCCGATATATCGGCCTAAAACGATATATGACCTGCCGATAACCGATATTGAAATTACACCTGAAGTATGCCAAACGCTAAGTATGTAAAGCGAATTATGAATATTCTCACCTTTTTCCCATTAGACAACATTTCACTTGACTCGAACACACGTTCATGGGACGTTCCTCATGCATGAGTGTCAGTCAAGTGAAAAAATGTCCAACTCAAGTGAAAACACTGCAGAAGATTGAAAATGCCTAAATGACCCGTTTTAAAAAAAGTATGCCAAACGCTAAGTATGTAAAGCGAATTATGAATATTCTCACCTTTTTCCCATTAGACAACATTTCACTTGACTCGAACACACGTTCATAGGACGTTCCTCGTGCATGAGTGTCAAAGTCAAGTGAAAAAATGTCCAACTCAAGTGAAAACACTGCAGACGGTTGAAAATGCCTAAATGACCCGTTTTTTTTTTTTAAAAAAAAGAAGTATTAGGCTGCTGGAAATATAAGCATTTTTCCCCTTTGCATTGGGATTCCCCTGGGATTCGACCTTCACTGCCGCGGTTCCTCAACGTCCCACATCCAGCGATAGGAGCGCTCTGTGCTGGGCTACTCCCTTCCCAAGCACACTGGCGCTTTAACTAAGAAAATATACACTTGACTTGGCTAGGTTCGAGCCCAGGCCACCCTGTCACGGGACATAAGCTCACTACGCAGTCACCTGGGAAAGCGATAAGCGTCATCTACTTAACTCGGCCTAGTGCCATTACCATAACCTACTCCGTACTTTCTGCGAAAATAGACATCGCTTATGTTAGCGCGAAGAACCCAGGCCTAGATGGATCCCAAAACCTTCGTACAAAAATCACTAGACTATAGTCTGATTTCAACTCTTTCGTGCCCAGAAGTTCCATTTGGAACAACCGATTTTCAAGATTGTTTTTCATCTTTATATTCATGTTAGGACCGTGCCGATGGCCACATTTGGCCGGTAGACTGCTGGCGCATTTTGAACTCGTACTCATTGACCGATGCCGGAGCTGATGATGATTTATACTCTATAGATTGCGAAAGTAACACGAAATCGCATACGAATTCAAATAGGCCTGTTTGGAAGCCTTACGATACTAATCAATGAGTCTCCTGAAAACGATAGTGACCACTTTGAGACCTTTCCAGCCTGTCTGTCTGCGTCCGTCATGGTTACCTATTGCTGATATGAGGGCTTAACGGCACTACTCGCTAATGCACAGCATAAAAGGAGATGCAATTATTTCACGGTCTTTACGGCTGTTTTCCTCCACCAGTTCCTACAATCGGGCTGAAACACAGGAAGTCCTCGATTTACGTCATGGATGCGTTCCCGGAAAACACGACGTAAAACGAAACCTATTTCCCCATGGACTAAATTATATACAGGAAGTCCTCGATTTACGACGTCACATCGGAACGACGCAACGAACACGTTAGCGACGTTATACCGAAACGACGTAAATCGAGGACTCCTCGCATGATCTGATGGATCCTTTTTTTCTGGGAGAGGCTTTCAGCGAGACAGGCAACAAACCGCGCTCACACTCACTCAGTTTTTTTTTTTTTTGCATTTTGCCCTCTTTAAGGCTTCGGCATCTACAGCTTCCAACCTTACCGTAGCCGTGGCGTCAATGGTGCAACACCAGAGGCGAATCTCTGTGGTTGTCAATACGTCGGTGCAGCCCAAATTTATAAAAAATATTAAATTCATAATTTATATTCGAATATTTATAATATAATACATTACATAAACATTTTTGTAGATAAAAACTTCTGTAATATAATAAATATGATTGATTGCCTTAGAAATTTTCCTGAAAAGCAGTCATGTTCGCATTTCATCTTCATTGAAAATTACCTGATGTATTAACAATTTGTCAGTCGTGTCTGTCTAGGTGTCCATTAGAGGTACAAAGGAGGGAACTTTGACATTCTTTGAACTGAGTGCTACTTTGAAGAAAAAAAAAAAGAATTGCTATTCCACCTTATTGCAAGTTCTAGGATGGAACATAGGAAATAAAATGCCTGATGCAAATCCAATGTAACATTTAAAAAATCCACATTGAGGAGCCTGGCTTCAGCATGAAGAAAACATTTCTTTTCACTATTGGAGAAATGGCAAAAGCATGAGGTGCACCACTGGTGCACCTCAAGCTTTCCCCATTAGACCTGGTCCCAAATAAAACTTAAAAGTGGAAGGAATTAATGCCTGAGGGTGGATTATTGAACAGAGAACAATCTGGTAATGCAGCTTTATTCTAGGGAAAACACATATTTCCTGGAAATATGTGTTTAGCAGCATTATCAGATAGTTCACTGTTCAAAATCCACCCTGAATGTGGAAATATAAATGTATATATAGATATCGGTATCGGTTCTTTTCCAATATCGCAATTATCGGTATATCGGATATCGGCCAAAATTCAATATCATTGCATCTCTAGTTTTATATTCACAAAAAAAATTTTTATATTTGACCCAAGTGGCCATTTCTTTGATGAATTCCTTTTGGAGTTATAAGAATCACCTTGAATGGAATTTTTGGTATTTTTAATATGTATTTTTTAAACCTCTTCTCTTTGCCCTTCTCTCTTTGTAGAAGCCGAGAAGAAGATAGGTTTTGAGATGCAGATCTGCTTGGCTTCAAGTGATGCCAGTGCCACATGGGTTCAGTTCCCTTCTCATTTGAGCCTCCAGTATGCTAGTCGCACATTCAAGGTGAAGGTCGTACCAGATGACCTTCAACCCGGTTGCCATTTTACTAGGTATGACTTCCACCAATTTTGGTTTTGGCTTGCCTACTGTCATATCCTGGACACATCTCTATGAAATTATTAATGGATTAAAAACTTATTTTCTAAGGTTTTAACTTAACTTTTTTTCTAAACTTATTAAATTTACTTATTTGTTACTTTCTGTGCTAAGTCTTATCATGTACTCAAGCTTTATTATCTGCTGATGTGCCAGCATGCAAAAGATCAAAATTCCCTTTCCAGCATCATCGCCTATGATGCCAAGGATCCCCGGAAGGGGCGTCTCTTTGATGTGCCTGTCACGGTGGTCAAGGCAAGAAAGGTCACTGAAGAAATGAACTTTGAACTGGAAATCCAGGATATGTCATTCTCCCAGGGAACTGTGCGGAGGTCCTTTGTCATCGTGCCAGATCATGCATCCTGGGCGAGTGAGTCCTTCCCCTTTACAATTTTTTAATTACTATGTTGCAGAATTCACACCATTTATATAATTTTTTTAATTTAGCTAAGTTGTGCCACCAGGAATCCTGCATTTTACATTTTTGGCATGCATCCCAACCAGTATATGCGTATGGAGGTCCTGCTCATTTTTTTTTATTACATTGTGCATGGAATTGTACAAAGAAATTTTCTTTTTCAGGGGTAGAGTTACTAGAGAGACAGCAGACAACATGTGGTCCTGGTACTAGAAATTCCCCTGGGAAGAGTGGGAGTGGATCAGGCACTCAGTATGTCCTTCATGCCATTCAG